GGGCCCAGCAGCCACTGGAGGCCTGTCACTGGGGGCCGGTCACTGGCTGTTCACTGGCCAAGCACCCTGGCGGTGGACACAAAGTTCACCCCGTGTGAGCAATCAATTCAATGTTGACGCTGCCAAGCCCACACCAACTACCGCACCGAGGACCCTTGGACACCACATGCGCCCATCCCCTCCGCCGGCAGACAACATCAGAACCAGACATCAGAACGTCAAAACGTCAAAACGTCAAACCGGCAGCGGTACAGCTGACAAGGCCCTTACAGCCCTGGCAGCCTCAACGCCAGACCAGGCACCGCCCTCCGTTCCCTACTCTACTCAAGGATATTACGGCTTAAGCAGGTTTCTAGGGTGCGGGCTTCAGAGTCTCAGATGAGCGGGCGAGAACCGGACTTGGGCAATTCGTCGTTGGGATGATGTTGCGTGCTTATTGCAAGACTGTACGGAGTACGGAGCACCTGCTGTAGAAACGGACCCAAGTGATAAGTCTTCCGGTCTTTGGGGACACACACGGCACACCAGTTGACCACTTGCATCTGTCGAGCGGACTGGCCGACAGTGCAGTTTAGGGGTGAGGGTTGAGTTTCAGTGCCCAATGTCGCCCGGGTCATCAACTGACATGACTACATTCATGTTCGCAGAATATCACGGCGTTGGCCCAACAAAGGCCCGAACATGCAGGCGCATCACCAGGGATCCAAGCCTTGCACTCAACACCCTAGCTCTATAATAATACATGAACAGCCAGGCTGCCTAGCTGAAAAAAAAGATGGTTGGGATTGCAAATGTCGGCGTTGTCAACCATGCCAACGAATTGCACGCCAACTGTTGTTTCACATTGGCCCTTGTGCTGCCGCCACCACCAAGAAGAAAAAAAACGGGGCGGCGCTGTAAATAGAATTGGCAGTGGCAGCGGCCAGTGGGCGACACTTGAGCAGGTCTGGCGTGTACGAAAATAAAGGCGACCAGACCAGATACCAGATGAAATGAGGTATGGGGAGGCTGTCCGCGTAAAGTCCTATGCTGGAGGCAGCCTGCGGAAGTACCTTGCAGTGCACCCCGTCTGCACGCGACCCCAGGTATCTACCCAGAGGTACCCCTGGGCCTCGACATGGATGGGGAATTCTAGGACTTCAGGGCCCCGAAGGAGGCGGAGCAGATGCGACCAGGTACCGATGTGTTTGTTGACGGCCGACCAGACAGTATGTACCTGCGTACTCCGTACATGCTGAGTACTCCCCCACTAGTACTTACTTACAATCCATACTCCATATTCCATGCCCCTCCCAGCGCCAACTCCGTACCACCAACCAACAATTCCACCCAGCCAATGTCAACAACTTGCGCCGCGAAATCCATTTACCTGGCCGACCGGCGACCGACGAACGAGGCGGAGGCGTTATACGGGGCGGAGTCCCAGCCATCACATTTCAATCAATCAAAGACGTGCCAACATCCCAGCTGGACCATAAGACTGGAGCCTGCCGACGCAGAATGTGCATGCGACGCAATACAAACCCGGAGCCTCAGGCCGGCCGGCACTTGTGCAAACGCACAAGAAAAAACAAACAAATACTACAGGCTCCGTCATGAACGCCAATTCATTAGATAACAATGTTCGACCGACATCAACCTCACCCGTCTCGCACCAGGCTGTAGATGAGATGATCTCTGTGGCCCTCCAGGCCTCTGTCTTCTGGTTCGGCAACCTGGGCTATGATTGCTACCAGAACCTACGAGGCCAAATCGATGTCTCCTGCTCCCGGCGTAACATTGGTAGCATCCTACCTGAGGTACCTAATAGTAGTACCCAGTAGAAGTTACTGAAGCATGCGGGACGGGACGGAGAAGCCACCCCTCCACACATCACCATGCCGGTTCAACTACGCTGCGTCTTGAGACAGCTCTACCGCTCAATAACTTCAGTTTCATTCGCACCAGTTGGCTTTTGGACGCATGGACTCGATGGCTGACTGCCCCCGCTGCAGCAACACCGCATGCCACCGCCTCCGGTACACCGCGCAATGTGCTCGGCGTAGCAATTCCTCATATCCGTATGTCCCTTACTGTCCGGTTCCATAATCGTTTGAGCCTCCTTGGATGCATTACGATCGTCGATTACAGAGTACGGGGCACGGAGTATACGACCCAGTGCGTTCCAGGGCTTGGTGTTGGCTGCTTCTGCTCTGTTTAACAAGTACAAGAAAGCCCTTGCCGGCCGAAATAAGGACAGTCCACTACGCCGTATAATTTGCCTTTTCGACATGTTTCACACTTTTTTTGCCGCATCCTGGATCTGAGCAGGGGAAGCAAGCACAGTCAAATTATTTCACGTACTCCGTACAGGGCCGTCGGATCCCTTCCAACTGGGCCACCCTCAGTCAGTATCCATGGGTCAAGGTCACATCAAGTTCTAATGTACGGAGTATCTGAAGAAAAAATGATGCCATCATATCAACGCGTGGCGAAAAGCCAACCCATTCAAACATGTGTTAGCTTTAGTCACTTCTCACCTCGAATTCTGCTGGGTGGCTTCGGCACTCGGAAAACCACTTCTGTCGGGACATAAATTCCGGCTAGGCCGGCCATCTGATTCTGTTTGCCATGAGGCTTTACATTGCCGCTATTACGTCGTGCTAGGAGTCCTATGCTCTGACTTGGATCAACACGATTTTGCCCGTTTGCCTATTCGGTGTAGTCGTGAAGACTCTCACACAATTATTGCGCAGTACCCCGTGGCTTTCATATGTCAGTCATGTGCCCCGTATTCTTAATGCACAGCGCCTGCATTTGATAACGCACGAAGCCTCTCTCCTGTAGGACTTGACGTTGTGTAACTGGTGGAGACTGTAGGACTTTGGAAAGCTGGTACTATCGTGTTGCCATGAACGATAGATACCACCTTTGGAAGAAAGGAAGAAGAAGGCGACTGTTGGTCATACACTCGACTCGGGCCGTGTTCCATTGATACGTGCATGTAATATTGAAAAGCCACACTCGTCCAGTTGCTGCCGTCTTTTTTTTTTTTTTTTTTTTTTTTTTTTTTTTTTTTTTTTTTTTTTTTTTTTTTTTTTTTTTTTTTTTTTTTTTTTTTTTTTTTTGGCAGAATTCAATGTTTTTATAGGCCATTGGACGTATCTTGTGACGTGGGTCAAACGTCGTGTTCAACAGAACATCCTCCTATCATGCTCAATTTTCAAACACTGGCACATCATATTGAGCCCAAAATCATGGTTTCGAAAAGCCAAATTACAGAAAAACACGAGTTTAGCTGCCAGCAAATAAGTTGTGTGTGCTCATTAATATTACAGCAACCACGTAGATGCGCAAATGTAGCCTACCCTAACACCTGACGTCCGACATGTGAAGCCCCAGAACACGGGTCTCGGCCCGGCTGGTTCCGTGCCCAGCTAAAGAATTTCCACCAGGATGCTTTAACAGCTTGAACGTTGCGAGCAACTCCTAGCACGCGACACGACTGCCCGACAAGACGCCCGGCGGCATCATTTTCTTCCAAGTGGGAATGGACTGCTATCGAGTGCCGCCAAGTTAAATACCGAAACACGCAGGTTCGCCACCGGTCAATTGACGGCCAAGCAACGATGCAGAAGCTCGTAAAACGAGCCGCCCAGGCCCAGCGCCAGGCGACCCGTCGGGCACGGCAGCAAATGGAGCAGGACAACATTGACAACCGGATGCGAAATCGCCAAGCCCTGAGAAGTGCTGTCTCCGAAATCAGGCAAAACTTGAAGGATGCCCGACAGGCAAGAAGAGAGGACTGGGAGATGGGGCCCTTGGCGCCGAAGCGAGACTTGGGATTCAACAACTATGGAGCGTTCAAGGAGACGGTGCGACAGGACTGGACCAACTATGGTTTGCATCAGGCGCGGCCCCAGCTTATTGAGCAGCGATGTGCGTGGGCTGGTGGTGCTCGGCAACTCAATCTTGCTCCCCAGGACCGAGTGGTCATCATGGATGGTCCTGACAAAGGCAAGATTGATCGTATCAAGGATGTCCAGGCCGAGAACGGAACTGTTACCTTGGAGAACCACCACAGGGTATGCCGCATCCCTTGTGGAAGCGCCGTGTTTGACACGCGCAACTTTTATTTATTTACTTTATTTATTTTCGGCTGACTCTGGCTTCACATAGGCACTATCCGTCGGCATGTTTGACAATCCGGCTCGATCGCAGGCCATGCCCATTTCCGTCGGCTCGATCCGACTCGTGTATCCTCTCAGGAACCCGGAAACCGGCGTCACAAAGGACGTCATCATCAACCAGCTCAAGGCCGTGCCTCCCAACATGCAATCCTCAAACATGTCACTCGACCGGTGGCAGTACGGCAAGAAGTGGGATCGTCTCGTTCCTGGGCTCAGCATGATCATCCCCTGGCCAGAGGTCCAAGCACCAGAGTTTGAAGCCACCAAGGCCGACACTGTTCGCGAACAGGTCGAGGAGAGGACATTCTACTACGGCCTCCTGTCACCACCCATGCCAGACCAAGTCCTCGACGAGCTGCGCAACAAGTACTCGAGGTTCAGAACCCGCCACGAGCCATGGTATATTGAGCAGAAAGAGATGGAAGAGGCATCCAAGAAGGGCCGCCTCGAGGCTATCAAGTCCATGCAGACGCCCCTGGAGGAGTTCCACGAGAGACGGAGAGAACTACGCGATACCCAGGGCGAGCCAGAGCTTTCAGAAGAGCTGCTGGAGAAGATTGGGGAGTACATGGCGAAGAAGAAGGATGCGGCTTTGAATCAGGCGGGTGTGTCGCAGGTTTCATCACAACAAGCACCGGTGAATTAGGGCGTGTGATGGGGCTGGGCGAGCGTGTATACGATGAAGGCGGCGAGGCGATGCCGCGAAGCAGTGTAATTGTATGTCAGATGGAGGAGTTCTTTGTACATCACGAGCGCAATGGACGCATCAATCCCCGTGGGCTAAAAGCGTGATGGATTTTGCCTTGGACAAGTTGGTGCTTGAACAAGCAGAACACGTACCGTGGAAATACTGTGTGCAGTTGTGTTCCTGGCCAACAAGACCGTAGCTATTGGGCGAAGTCGCCCAACCGCCAATGTAACCGCCACGATGCCCATCGGCCTCTATCCAGCAGTGTATGCATCATGTCAAACGAAGTGCTAACCAGCTTTCACGCTCTCACTCTCATCGGGTCCAGCCGAGTCACTTATTTCCGTCCTGCCTGCCGACACCCCCCCCACTCTAGTCTGGCTAATCTAACCTTGGGCCCTTCATTTCTCCGCGTCCACGCACGCAGCCCCTCCAGAAGAACCCCACTATCTACTCTGTCGCGTCACGGCGGTTGCTTTCTATTAGTGACGCATCTTGCTCAGCACAACCAGGCCGATAAGAAAGCTTGGCCATCCGACACGGAGCCATGCCCCCTCCTTCCTGGCCGCCTCTTGGTTATTTTTCCTACTCTTCTTTACTAATTACCTTGTAGTCTTTCAATTGAGAATTGATATCCACCGGGCCCTGGAGAATCAGAACATTCTTTACAACCACACAAGCTGTCGACATGTCCCACAGCCACTCTCACCAAGGCGGCGCTTCGCATTCCCATTCTCACGATGGCTTTTCGGCGCAGGAGCATGGCCATTCGCATGAAATTCTGGACGGTCCGGGAAGCTATATCGGGAGAGAGATGCCGATTATAGAGGGAAGGAATTGGTCCGAGAGGGCCTTTACCGTTGGCATTGGAGGGTGAGCTACCATAATATTGTCCAAGCCGTATGTATATTCGTGGGCGCTGTGCAAGCCGGACAAGGTAAACCAGCCGAGTTCTGCTGCCCCCTCTCTAACACAACACCCGACTAGACCCGTTGGCTCCGGCAAAACCGCCCTCATGCTGGCCCTCTGCCTGGCCCTGCGGCGGAAACACTCCCTCGCAGCCGTCACAAACGACATCTTCACGCGCGAAGACGCCGAGTTCCTCACGCGCCACGCCGCCCTCCCGCCGCAGCGCATCCGCGCCATCGAGACGGGCGGCTGTCCGCACGCCGCTGTCCGCGAGGACATTTCCACCAACCTCGCCGCCCTGGAGGACCTGCACGGCCAGTTCTCCACGGACCTGCTGCTCATTGAGTCTGGCGGCGACAACCTGGCCGCCAATTACTCCCGCGAGCTGGCCGACTTCATCATCTACGTGATTGACGTCAGTGGTGGTGACAAGGTTCCCAGGAAGGGCGGCCCGGGGATTACGCAGAGTGATTTGCTGGTGGTGAACAAGACGGATCTGGCCGAGGCTGTGGGCGCGGATCTGGGTGTCATGGAGCGGGATGCGAGGAAGATGAGGGAGGGGGGCCCGACCGTCTTCGCACAGGTCAAGAAGGACATTGGCGTGGACCACATTGTGAATCTGATCTTGAGCGCCTGGAAGGCCAGTGGTGCCGAGGAGGAGAGGGTGCAGCAGGGAGGGCCGAGGCCGACCCCTGGCCTGGATGACTTGGAGAAGAAGTAATCACAAAGACCTCGATCGGTATGGCGCTGAATCGAAAGGCTGGCAAATTTTGGTGGAAAATAATGCAGATGTAGTTTCGTGGGCGTGACAAAAAAAAAAAAAAAAGTATATACGCGCGTATCGTAACCTCTAGAGGTATAACATATCTCGTCTAAAATTTTGATGAAAGCTTTCTTCAAGTAAATAGTTTTTTCCCTTTCCCGTTATCCGTATTCGATTCATTCCATCATGACATCGTCGTTCTGGCCTTGTCCGACGACAGCAGCAGAACTTTCCAGCAGCGGCTCCCGGACAGGCCTCGAGGCCCGCGGCCACATGCGCTTGTACAAGCTCACGCCCACCGCATCCTGAGGATTAATCTTTCCATCAAACGTAGCCTTGAAGTAGCCATGCGTACCCAGCGGCTCCTTGATAAAGCCCGTCCGTCCTCTTCTCGTCCACAGCGGCAGCGCCTTGAACCACTCCACATCCTCGCGGCTGAAGAACATGTACCGCACCGTGACGATCTTCTTGTGGATGTGGTACGGGTGGCCCGTCAGGATGACTCTCTTGGCAACGACTCGAGACGTTGACGGCGGCAGGGCGGTGCCTGTGCCGACGAGACTTAGACCAATGTCCTGCTCGCCATCGGCACCCGTGGTTCCAGGGGCGCATCTCTTGAAGAACATGACGGGCACGGCGCCCCATGTCATGGGTCCCATGAAGGACGCAATGGCCGACTGGCCTGGGTGCAGGTAGCGACAGAACTTGTGGACGTCGTTTGGCGTGGAGCCCGGGTTGGAAAAGATGGGCTTGATGACCATGCGCCGCGGCCCGCACTGCACAATGAGCTCCTCCTTGGACTTGATGGACTTGCCGTAGTCGTTGCTCAGATTGAACAGGTAGTTGAGACTGGTCTTCTTGTTCTCGTGGCGGAGGAGTGAGAAGAGCGCCACGGGTGAGCTGGGCTTGTGTGAATTGGCAACGTCGGTCGGAACGCCCTTGACGTAGACGTGGACGCGGGTGCCGGGCGCAACACCACCGACGAGGGCTTCTCGAACGGCCCGAGACCGGGAGGAGTTGTAGTCGGGCACTTGGAGCAGGCGCCTCCATTCCTCGGGTTCGTGGGCCCGATCTTCGTCTTCTTGCCACGGGCTTGTTCGCAGGCTTTTGAGACCTCTGTATCGGGCTAATCTCTCGCGGGCGAGGACGTGGGGGTGTAGCTCGATTTCGTCGGGGAACTCCTTGTCGTCTTCGGCTTCGTCGCGCTTGCGGGCACGAAACTGAGCCAGTTGCTGCGCATCGTCGGCGTCGTTGGGGACATCCATCATTTCGGACTGTGGGTATTCAGAGGGCCCGGCTTCTGTGGGTTCGGGCTGGGCATATCCCTCGATGCCATCTTCCGCGCCGATTTCCTCGTCTTCATCCTTGTGGTCGTCCATTTCCATGTCTTCCATGTCCGAGTCCGAGTCGGAAACGTCGTCTAGGTACCAGGCTGATTGGTAGTTGGACGTACCCTTGGGCACTTTCTTCTTGATCTTCCTTTCTTCGGCGTCGTCATCGGAAAAGTAGTGGTGCTCGTCGAGCAAAACACCCTTCTTGGGCACTGGTTCCTTAGTCATCTCAGAATCATCCTCGGCATCCATGACTACGTCCTCCGGAGCGAGTTCGTCTAAGTCGTCCCGATCCTCCGAGGGAACCTCCAACACATTGTCAGCTTCGACTTCGACAGCAGTTTCATCGCCCTTCTTGACGTGCTTTGCCAAGGGAGCCGCCACAATCTTTTCAATTTGATACGTGCCCCAGTCGCCAAGCTGTACCAGTCTGTCGGCTTTCATGCCTCGCCCTCGGACAACTCCAGTGACGACGGTAGACTCCGACTCGTTGGCGGCAAATTTGATATCCTCGGCCAGAATCCAGCTTCTGTCGTCCCTCCAGCGGACACCCTTGGGCGTTGTGTTGCAGAGAGATCGCATCAAGTTGGAGCATTCTTGTCTATTATCCAGGCTGTACAGCTTCTCCTGTTCGGGGTGGAAATGCGTAATGAAGGATTTGAGAGATGCTACGGTAGATTGGCGTTGTTTGGCCGGCTCAATCGCCTCGAGGCCTTGTACCAAAGTGAAGAGGGTTGACATACCCTGACTTTCGATACTTCGCAAGATCAATTCTCCAACCGCGTCCACTTCTTCGTTGGCGGACAGAATTACAACGACGAAGTCGGCAACCCGAGCAGCGTCCAGGCAGGCATTGAGGTCACGCTGGAGGGGAATATACTGAAGCTTCTGCTTGAATCGGTCGACTGACACTCGAAAGTTCCCATCTTGAACCTCGGTCTCAATATCCAGGCTCCCGTTCAATTGTTTAATGGCGACTTTGGCGTCGCCATCAGCGCACAGAGGAACAACAGCAACAATTCTTGGGGCACCATCCTTTCCGGAAAATATTGAAGTCTCCTTGAGGTGTTCTCTGTGCTTGGTTAACCGAGCCTGCTTGGCCTGGTTTCGTCGATCGAACTTGGACATGACCTGTTGGTGTGGTGTCCGTCTTTGGCTTCTCTCGTTTGGGACTCGGCCTGTATACAGGAAATTGTGAGCCAGTGAGATCCTAATGGCTCATACTGAGGAGATCGGCTACCAGCGCATACCTTTGGCACGATCTCTCAGTTCGTGTTTTGACGCCGCCCTCGACTTGAACGGCTTGTGCGACACCTTTGTGGTGGGGCGATGCGAATGGTTCGCAACAGCGACAGGCATTTTGCTGTTGCCCCCAGCTTTGAATCGGAAGGGAAGAGACTCCAGGATGAATACAAGACCGATATGCAGCCACAGAGATATGAGGGCAGAAAGAAAAGTTGAAAGAAAACAAAGAGATGCGTGACCGGAAACAAAATATTGCCGCTTATGCCTCTTCCCGGGTCGCAAAGGTAGGCGGTAATGGAGGGGTTGTGGTTATCAGGAAATTTTTGTGCGGTAGGCTATCGATAAGATGTAGCGGGTCTGCGGATCTAGCCCGGGTCGGTACAGCCAATCGTGACCGGGCGATAGCGGGTGTTGGCTGGAAATTTTGTCTTTCATGTAACTAACTACTCCGTACATACATACCATTATTATCTATCCATCGCAGCACCTTCAATTAGCCGTTTGCCAACGGTCTATTTTTCCTTCTTCAACAAATCCTACCAGCGGAGGAATTGATGCACCATGGAAGTCGACACAATTGATGAACCCATCACCAAGCTGCGTGAAAATGGCGCCCTTGCCGTGGGAAGGCCGCGAATGGAGCTCATGCCCAAGCGTGAGAGAGAAAAGCTTCGCCGCATTCGAGAAGCTCACAAAGCCTACGGCCGGGGCAAGAAGATCAACACCAAGAACATCAAGGACAAGAAACTGCGAAGCAACATGAAGCGACTGGAGGGCAAGTACCAAGATGCCGCAATCAAGGCCAAGGATGCCGAGATATTGCTTGAAAACACGGCTGGCTTTCTCGAACCCGAAGGCGAGTTGGAGCGCACGTTCAAGGTTCGACAAGAAGACATTGTTTCCGACATTGGAGTGGCAACGGCACAAAAGCGCTTCGACTTGAAGCTCGATGCTCTTGGTCCTTATATCTGCGACTACACTAGGAACGGCCGGGAACTGCTGCTGGCTGGGCGGAAGGGCCACGTCGCGACCATGGACTGGCGGGAGGGCAAGCTTGGTTGCGAATTGCAGTTGGGAGAGACTGTTCGAGATGTCAAGTGGCTGCATAACAACCAGTATTTTGCAGTTGCGCAAAAGAAGTATGTCTACATCTACGACAGGAATGGCGTGGAGCTGCATAATTTGAGGAAGCACAATGATGTAACTCATATGGAATTTCTGCCATACCACTTCCTCCTGGCGACGATTGTGAGTGCCCAGAATGGAATGGCCCACCTTTGCTTAACCTTGAAAAAAAAAGACACTAATGCCTGTTGTATAGAACACCGGCGGTGTAATTAAATATCAGGACACTTCGACCGGTCAGCTCGTGGGTGAAATGCCCTCACGACTAGGACAGCCCGTGTCCATGGCACACAATCCTTACAACGCCATACTTCACGTCGGACACCAAAACGGCACCGTCACATTATGGTCGCCCAATTCACAGGACCCGCTGGTCAAGCTTCTTGCACACCGCGGCCCCGTTCGGTCACTAGCAATGGATCGAGAAGGCCGCTACATGGTGTCCACGGGACAAGACCTCAAGATGGCAGTGTGGGACATTAGAATGTTCAAGGAAGTCAACAACTACTACACCCGCCAACCTGCCTCATCGGTAGCCATATCAGACACAGGCCTCACAGCGGTCGGGTGGGGAACGCAAACCACCGTCTGGAAAGACCTCTTCAACAAGCACAAGGCCGTCCAGGAAAAGGTGAAGTCCCCCTACATGGCATGGGGTGGCGAGGGAAAACGCATTGAACGCGTGAGATGGTGTCCCTTTGAAGATATCCTCGGCGTAAGCCACGATCAGGGCTTCTCGTCAATCATCATCCCCGGCGCCGGCGAAGCCAACTTTGACGCACTCGAAGCGAACCCGTTCGAGACGGCCAAGCAGCGACAAGAATCCGAAGTCAAGGGCCTACTGAACAAGCTTTCACCCGAGATGATTGCTCTGGACCCCAACTTCATCGGCAATCTGGACTTGAGATCCGACGCCCAAAGAAAGGCAGACAGGGATCTGGACGCACCGGCCGTAGATGTCGCCGAGGAAATCAGGAAGAGGGCCCGAGGCAAGAATGGCGCGTTGAAGAAGTACCTGCGGAAGCAGAGGAAGAAGAACATCATCGACGAGAAGAGGATGCGAGTGGACGAGATGTGGAACGAGCAGCAGAAGCTGAAGGACAAGAAGAGGAAGGAGGTGGAGGCGGATCTGGGGCCAGCCTTGTCAAGATTTGCCAGAAAGGATTGAGGGTGGCATGTCTGCTGCTGAAATTTGTATATATTAAACTCATCATGGGAGGGCATGGCGTATGTAGACTGGCGCATCAAATTTCTAGTCTCTCTCGACTGCATCTAGACGCAGCCTCATCTTGTGTCGTATAAGTGACCACCATCTTCATCACCAATCTACAAAGCCATGCTAAGCAATTATCAACTTTTGCAATGTACACCATGTAAAAGCCCAAGACGCCTTTTAACCCGCCACTTTTCTAGCATCAATCCGAATCCCTTTTGCTTTTTTCTCAAGTGCAGTTCTGCCTCTGATTCACGCCCTGTTACATATATCTAGTCATCCCATCATAGCAGCTTCAAATGGCCCGTGATCTTGTCTACGGCACTCTTCGGCGCAGGCCCAACGCCCAAGACGGTCAAGCTGCCCGGGTCAATCTGCGTCCTGCCGGCATCCTGGATCACCTCGGCCGTGAGGCCCGCGTCGAGAGCCTTCCACCGCAAGTCCATTAGCTCCGCCTCGCTCTTGACTTGCACTGCAATCTTGGCCTGGCCGCGCTTCTCCCAGCGCTGGAGGAGTTTGCGCTCGGCGCTGTCGGAGGCGGAGCGGGCGAGTGCCTTGTAGCAGGCGAGGGTGGCGTGGGAGCATTGAGCGGCCATTTTGCCTTTGGTTGTGTTGTGTTGTCAGTTGATTATATCCCACTCCATGCCACATTGCAAAAATCCAGAAATAAAGGGGGACTGGAGGGGAGCCCACGTACCCTTGGTCATGCCCAGATCCGTCCTCACCACCAGGACAAGCTTACACTCCTCATTGGAATCGCCATCCAGCGTCTTGCGCTCCGTCATGCCTCCCACGCGGGCGTTTGCCCTGAGGCCTTGCTTGCGGTCGGCAGCGACGCCGTTGGCCCAGTTCGGCGCATGGTCGAGAATGGTGTCGTCCTCGTCAATGTCGCTTTCGTCGCTCTCCACGGGGTCGTGCAGGTTGCGGTGACGTTCTTCGGCGAGTGCTGGCGAGATGAGGTAGCCGCGGGTTGTGAAGACTCCGAACAGCCAGCCGGAGATGAAGGCAGCGAGGGAGGTGGTGAGGATGATGCCCGTTTGGGTGCCTTGGTCGACAGCCATGGCGGGGAATTGACTTGTTGCGGTATCGAATTGAGATGATGATGAGGATGCGGGCAGTGGATTGATTTTTGTGACGTGGGAAGCTCAGCTGCCTTGCCTTGAACCTTCCCTTTTTTCTTTTTTTTGGAGCACCTTCAGCGTGGAGGCTACACATAATTAGAAGGTAGCTACACCATTTTCTTTCAGCGTGACGTGGATCAGCAGCTGGCAATGCAAGAACCGCAAATTCACGCACGTAATAGACCAATCGGACCCCTCCATCACTGTCACATATAATTACTCGAGCACGTCTTCTCCCGACCAAGGTTGTTTGTTGACTCAATATACGTTGCCACGTCTGCTCATACGACAGTCGCATCCACACTCACCCAGACCATCCCAAATGCCCAAATCCCTCATAATAGGTATATCTGGTCCGTCCTCTAGTGGCAAGACCACGCTCGCCCGCCTTCTGCGTGATATATTTCCAAACACGTTTATCCTCCACGAAGACGACTTTTATAAGCCAGAGCCAGAGTGCGTCGCGTTCCCTCGGCCGACTTCATGCCATCCCCTTACTTGCCGCAATGCTCACATGAACCCAGATTACCCGTCAAAAATGGCCTGCTGGACTGGGACAGCGCAGGCGCTCTGGACATCTCTGCCATGGCCGAAGCCCTCTCTTATATCCGGCAGCATGCTTCCTTTCCGGTACTTGCACCACACCGTCTGACCCTCGTCGCAAAACACACCGTCACAGCCAAATCCTAACGTCCTCACAGCCAACCCTAGACTCCAGGGAAGACCAAAATTCCGTCGGAAAATGTCCTGTGCCTGAGTCAACTGTTGCTGCCCTCAGGAGCAGGGTGTCTGATGCCCTGCCTTCTTCACACCCTCTGCGCGGCGCAAATCTACGACTATGCCTTCTGGACGGATTTCTGCTGTACTCACCCTCCATGCAGGCCGTCCATTCCCACCTTGACCTCAAGCTGTTCGTAAGAGCGTCATATGCCAAGGTCAAAGCAAGAAGAGAGGCCCGCGATGGGTACGTGACCATTGAAGGGTTCTGGGCCGACCCGCCGGGCTATGTGGACAATATTGTGTGGCCAAATTATGTCGAGGAGCATGCTTGGATGTTTGACGGTGGGGATGTGGAAGGCACCTTCAAGGCAGACGTCTTGGAAAGTCAAGGCATCAAGGTCCCGAAGGAGGCGCCGGTGGATGCTGATCTGGAGTATGTGTTGGGGTGGATGGTGGGTGTAGTGATTGAGGAACTGAGGAAGCATTCATAGATGATGATGATGATGATGGAGTTTTATAGAATAAATGCATGCTCTCCAATTATTCTTGTTGCCTGCAATTTACCTGCGCTACATCTCCACAAGCAAAACCTATCTCGTCCAACTGGATGTTATGGGTCAGATTTTACCTCGTCATTCAAACTTGCCCTCATATCTTGGTTCATGTGCTCGAATGGATACCAGCACCCGGTCCAATAAAACTCTCAATGCTCGACTTCCGCTGCCTTGTCTCTTTCCGCTCCCAGAATTCGTATTGCCTCCTCTGCAGCCTTCGTCTTGACTTCTTCCCTGGTCACACCATCAACAACCTCAGTAACGACTTTTTCGCCCATTAGAACACGGCATGTAAATGCTTTTTCACCATCAGGTGCCTCCTGCACATCAACATCATATGTGACAGTCTGCGTAACCGCCATTTTACCCAGCACCTCCTTAGGATGCTGTACCGCAACCCTGTCTTTAAGAAGGCGGTCTAGAATTGACAAAACCCCGAATTTCTGGAGCATGCACTCACACAGCTCGATTGAACCCGAGTCAACCCACACTGCCCCAAGCAAGGACTCAAAAATGTCCGAGTAGAACTTCTTGGCCTGGAGTCGGGCAAGGAGAGCCCATGGATACCGCGATCCCTGGCGGAGTGCCGCCAGAATTTCCCCACGAAGTGCTTCATATCGTTTCAATGTCGCGGCTTGCTCGATTCCAATCGCCTCTGAAGAATGCCGCATAAATGTCCACAGGGCTAAAGGGGTCGTCTCCTTATCAATAATCTGCAAGCTGGATGTGACGGCTGTTTCTGTCCGCCGCATCTGGTGATCAAGAGACAAAAATGCCAAGAAGTCCCCATTTACCATTGCTGTCTTTAGCGAATGCATCTGATAAGGGGCTAGGAGCGGCCCAGCGGTGTACATCTTTCGCACGATTATGAAATCCAGAATAGCGTCGCCAATGAATTCCAAATGTTCGTAAGATCGCCGGTTGTAGTCGAACATACACGACTGGTGGGTCATAGCTTCAATTAGCAACGATTTCTTCTTGAACTGATACCCGACCAAATGCTCCAGGGGTTTGAGCTCTGCTGGTAATACATCCTGATCTCGTGCCATCTTGAAAAACAGCGCACGGTTTGCGCTGACATCTTGCCATTGTATTTCGTTGACGAACAATGATATGCAGTTCTGTGCTTTTGTTATGCCCCCGTTGATGTACGATGCTCCAATAAGTGCTTCTACTACATCGGCCAAGGTCTTCGTCGATATTTTACGTGGCGACACTTTGCCTGGGTTCCCGGTATAATTATCCAGATACAATGGTCGCCACTTTTGGCCGGTAAAGGACTTTGTAAGAATAAACTTGGCGAGCCCTACATCTATGGCTGCTCTGGATAGTCGAGAATTGCCTACAAGGCGGTCTTTGAAGAATGACAGATATCCTTCAGGCCATTCCGGATCTGTACAACATTGTCAGTCAGTACCTAGGTGGAAAATCTATACACAGGACTTACGAATAGCCGAGACTTGTATGGCAGTGCAGTATTTAAGAATCGAATCCCCAAGAAATTCAAGCCGCTCATAGTTGACAGGCTCTGCTGCGCTACGGGAGCTAATTGCCTCTCGAACCAGCCCGAGATCAGTGATGTTGATTCTTTCCAGGAGTGTGGTCGATAATTCCTTCGCAATCAATGTGACCTCTAACTCGTGTATAAGGGATGGTATAAGCATGCCAAACTGTGCGAATTTGAGAGGGATGCTATCTGCTGTTGCCCAGGATAAAGGAATAACTCGAGGACATGGCTTTGTCGTCGCAGGAGTAGCGTCGGAGAAAACAGGATGAAGGAAGTCGGATCGTTTGGCCCATCTCTTAACAATCAAATATGGTACATCGTCTGGAGCATTTTCGTAGTCAAAGATTGAGCTCTGAATACTTTCAGCCGTAGGCTTAGATGGAAGAAGCCCTACATAGTGATATGGGCGGTTTGACTCGTCTCTAACCAAGTATTTCCCTTCAATAACGTCACTGGTATTCGGGTCGAAGCTCTTACCCCCAATCCCACCCATTGATACTTGATGCTCTTGTGTCCAAATCCTGATAATGTGATGCTTCTCCTCAATTGACCATCGATGTGCGAAAGGAAGTGCCAGCAATGCGGAAGTGTGATCTGGCATCGCAGCTACATCGGCGGCAGAGATGGGCCGACAGGAGTCGAAACGTAGCTCACAGATATCACTGCTGTTAAGGTATAGCTGGATATTTCGAAGCTGGTCAAGTTCCGCAGGAACAAGCACGTTGTATTCAGATTCGCCGTGCATCGGGTCATGACATTTGAGAGAGTAGAGCCATGACTGGTCTCCCTCTGTCCAGGCTTTTGCCACCCCGAACCAAGGGTTGAGCAGTGATTCCACTTCTACCTCCGGTGCTCTGGTTTCTACGCCAGGTATGTCTTCATACCGGAAGGGTAGTAGATGTTCATTCACCAAACCAGCCTGGTATAGAGTCTGGTAGGCCTGAAAAGCAGCATCTTTGGTTGCATTCTTCTCCGAACGCCAGCTTGATTTGCTGTCAATTTGCCGAAGTTGAGCGGGAACGAGTGATGGGAGAAGCACAGTGGCGCTCAACATTGGCTTTGAACTTGAATCCCAGTCCTCATGGGAATGGGTAATATAGTCCGGTCGACTGTCAACAAAGTCTCCCTGAGACAAAACTCTGCAAAAATGCTCCAAATGTGACTTTGCATTCTCGAAGTCGAGTCTAGCTCCAGTGGACTCGACTTCCATGAAAGTTGACGACGACTCTTCAGAGTCCTCGAGGCTCTGTATCGTGCGGATCTCGCGCTGCGTGTCTTGATAAACAGCTTTCATATTTTCCTCCAATGCTTCCCATTTACCAACAGCTGACGAAGAATATTCACTAAGCAATATCAGTTTTGACTCTTTCATCCTCGCTCGTCCCCGTCGTTGCACAAATGACTTGGGAGTTGCAGGGTGGTCAAAGCATATGACCATATTGCAGGCTGGCACGTCAATCCCTTCCTCCAAGACGGACGTAGCAATGAGAATATTGATCTTTCCTGAACGAAAGCTTTGCAAGGCTGCCATTTGGTCTGAACTCTGTCCGATGAGTTCAGAAAGAGTTAGTTTCCTACTCTGATAGTTGGATGTCCCAACCATCGATCCAATGCGATGCTTTTCCACAATACGTGGACACGACATCAGAAACTCACGGAGAGCACTGGCAGTTGCTCGCTCCTTTACGAAAATCAGACATATTGTCGATTCCTCTACTGACACAAGCTCTCGAACCAGGGCGGTCGCCTTCTCGGACACCTCACTGCCACTTTGTGGCATTGGAGCTGGGCAAGAAGGCGAAACTCGACGAATAAAGTCTGCCAAGTACTTCTTCTCGGCATCAAGCCAATCATTGAAGATACCATTGGTGTTTGTACGGGCCAGGAAGGCAGAAGCAGACTTCCAGATGTACATGTCCGCAGCCCAGGTTCCAAGTTGTTGTAATATCTCGACGCTGCGTCCCCATAAGCCCTTAATTTGGTTCTGCACAAATGTGTCGTACTTCTCAACAGCTCGCACGAGTGCCCGACAATTTCGGTCTGAGGGGTCTTCTTGGAGCCTTAAAATATATGGGTCTTCTGTTATATCGAGGTTTAGGAACTCTCTCCGCAAACGGTACATTGATTCTGTGTACTGCAACGACCGAGGTGCGTCATAAAGAATGCTGTATATCTGCGGTCGCTTGACGCACTTCAGAAGCTCTTCTCGATGCCTGGTAGGGGAAATGCATTTCGCGTCCAGTACTGCCTCGAGAATCTCCATGTTCTCAAGATCTTCTGTCATACTAGGAGTTGCTGTAATGCCAAGGATATTTGGAATACTTTCGGCCGTATGTTTATTGCGGTGGTAGAAGTCTGTCATGATCTTGCTTCCCGGGTGTTTTCCTACACAGTTATGTGCTTTTTTTGCAAGATTAGTTTGAGGCTCACGGTGTAGCTACAAATCTGAAGCTAACCTTCGTCAAAGATTATGAGAGAAAGCCGGTCGATGTTGATAAATGCGTGACATAGTGCATCCAGGAGAACCTGGTAGGTTGACACAACAACGCGCACCCCATCTAGAATCGTATCCCAGGTGTCGGCCGACCATGTGTCAACCTGATCGTTGCCCGTGATCAGTTTCATAGGCACCGATGCTGCCTGCAACCGGATCACATCGAATTGTTGGCCACACAATGCGACAGTTGGCGCGAGAAACCATATTATCTAGATCTGTATAAGTGAAACTAATCGAATGAATAATTTCCAATTCCGGTATTACCTTATCGGGAGCGGATCGATCCAGCTCGGCTTTGATGCGCAGCACGGCACTTGAAAGGGGTCAGAACTAATGTTCGCTTTAGGAAGGTTGTTAGGTAATAGGAAAGGTGAGACGTAACAACGACTTACACTTGAGTCTTGCCACTTCCCGTATCCATCTAATTGACAGCATATAGTTAAAATCGGAGGCCACGAGGAGTTGATTCGTTCTGGTAAACTTACAACCACAATGACATTTTGTTTGAGGCTCTGGTCGAGCATCTCCAACTGGTAGGCTCGAGGGTTCATGGCAGTGGCAGAGGGCGATCTGTTGGTCTCATTGTCACAAGCAATACCGTGGTGTGAAGCATCCTCAGGTTGTTTCTGGGGAGAGGCTTGCAGGGCAGCAGCAGATATTGTCTCGCTAATATTAAGGAAATCTTTGGGGGCGTCATTTCGATCACCTTCAGTCCAGTCTGTCTCCATTGATATATCGGGTACTTCGCATTCATTGGAACTACAAGAGCCACCGGGAGATGTAGCCGGAATCATATTTCTATGGTGATAGCCTCTGGGCGTCCAGCCATTCAACTAACGCAAAGGGCTTGCGAATGGGGTTGATTCGGTCCACAAGAATCAGGCAAATACCAAGCAGATGCACAACCATGTGTGTGTGAACCAAAAAGATTCCAAGTTAGGGATGGCGAGCGTCATTAGCGGCGTGTGAGTCACTTGTGCAGTCCTGCAGGCTGCAAAAAGAGACCACGATTCACACTGTCGAGCGAAACTGAATGGGAATGGGCTGTTCGTACGGGGTCGTGGCCCGGCGAATTCCGTCCACCAGGTCGTTCACTGAATGCTAAATACGTAGGTAGGTAGGCAGTCGTCGCTGGATTAGTTTGAGGTTTAGTACATGGTACAGGGGTGCGGAGACAAGATGAAGCAGAACCTTTTCTTACCAATGAGCAAGTTTAATGGGTGTTTGTGTGTGAAAGTCGAGTCCCAGGTTGAGCTCTGAGCGGCGGGGTGGAGGGGTCAATAATCTTTGTCTTTTTTCCTTCTTTTGGTCAGCTAGAAATCTGGGGTGCTGGTCGCTCACGATGTTAAAATGCAAAGCGACGTCTCTGCTAACAAAATCTTTAGGCCCCGAGGTCAAGGGGTTGGGTCAGAGACTCAGAGGCAAGCATCAGAGGTGGTTTGTCCATTGAGGTTGCTCCGAACAAGACCAAGCCCAAGCTCGGTTGGAAGGAGCCACTGGAGCCCAAGCACCTGCCAGGAAGCTCCAAGCCACGTACTGATGTTAGCGTCGGGCAGATGAAGCCACTCTTGCAGTCAAGCTTTGGCAAGCCTCTATCTAACTGGGACTTTGATATTCAGCCAGGCCCAATAGAACGTCAATTGTCCATGTCCAGGACAATCAACTTACCATTACTCCGTGTGGAGGGGTGTCTTGTTCATTTCTTCAACCACTCCACGCACAGGCAGCACGCAGGTGCTCGACATAACTACTTTACGGAAGCACGCTCGTTGCAAGGCGAGTGGCTTGTCTGTTGCACGTTGGTTCAGAAATCATCACAGGAACTAGCCCTGTTTTAGGCACAGCATTACGAAGTCAAATGGGATTACAATTTCTTCTTTGCCTCGTCGCTTTCCCAACCAGGGGGTTGTGCTATTTGTGCGGCAGAAAATCGTTATTCGTGCGGCACTAAGCCCAATTGGGGTGCACCCCCTAGCTGCCACACCCCACCATACAAATTTACATACATTAGCCTGGCAACGCAAGGATTAGCCGCCTTTTTGCAACAACACAACATCATTAAATTCCGTTGATAATAGCAGTTAACAGCCAAGTTAAAGGCCTCAATTAAGCTCTCGAAGTTATTAAGGCCGAGTAAATCCAAGCATCCGGCGCACAGCAGCGCAGGCAAAGCTAGAACAACGATTCGGGACGCAATAACGAAGAAGACTCGCAATACGGTCAAGGCAGCGGTCAATAAACGCTATAAAGAGCAGCACTCTTAGAGGTAGCGGAATAATTAACGGCCCGTAAATCCCGTGAATCCCGTGAATATATACACATTTATTAAAAACACTAGAAATCGCGTTTTTAAGCGATTTAAGCCCTATTAGCGCTCGCTTAGGCTCGCGTTATTAAAAAATTAATAGATTTTCATTGAATCCAGCTTAAATTTTTAAATTATAGCCTTTTCCATGTGAGTGTATGTGAAAATGTATGGTGGGGTGTGGCCAACTGTCCACTTATCCGAATCGGGTCTGGTGCCGCACGAATAACGATTTTCTGCCGCACAAATAGCACAACCCCCAGGCTGGCGCTACCAGCATCGCCCACTACGAAATTGGCTGCTTGGCTGCCTTGTCTCTCTAGCGGACTGGTGAGGAGCCTTTGGTCATGACGAGACAATAACCGCAGTTGCACTACCCTATTCTTTATCTTATCCGGAACCAGTTCCCGAAAAAAAAAAAAAGGTTCTAATCCAATTGCTTGTAGATCCTCAGTCTGAGCCACGTTATGACCGCAGCCCGCCTAGCGCCACTCATTATATTCTTCCACCATATGGCAAAAGTCCCACGTGGGGGTTCAATCTTGGCTTCGTGACCAAAAATGGACTTGTTCGCTGCAGGCTTCAATGCCTGGAACCAATTATGCTTCGTGCCGCGATCGGGAGATGTTGCTGAGCCTAAAGATCTATCGACATTTACAAAAGTGCTTGATGACGACCACCTTGAACGGCCTCGAGCAGGCTTATACTACACGCTAGGTATGTATGGGATAAGGTGGACGGAGCAACAACCGGAGTCACTGCCCTAAAAAGTTCCCTCGATAGACTCAGACCACCTCAAGACTCACATTTCACAATGAACAGTCCGCGGCCGTGCCAGGTACTACCGTGCCGGTATCGGTGTCGAGACCGCAAGTGATGAAGATATCCAGCGCAACTACCAGGCCTGTCGCGCTGGCAACGGCCTCACTCTGATTTTTGACGGTCCTATATCTGCCGAAAATACAGGTATGAGGCTTGGACCGAATAAACACGTCCTAACAGTGCATCCCTGTTATGATGACTTCGTATCAAAGTCCAACCCCACGAGTTGGCCATGTGATAGCCAAGTGCGAGAGGTGGCCTCTTTCGCCGCCGGGTTTATAATCCTGTATCAAAACGGCAAGGTGGCCACAATGGGTGATCCGCGATACCAGGACTGCCTTGCTAGAGAGATTACATCGGATGAGTGAGTTGCGAAGCGCTTTGTGAATTGCATGTTCGTCCGGAAAGCAAACAATGGGACTGATTTTGTGTTACATAGACCAGCCGATCAGCCGGGATTTGTACCCGATCTAATCAATCTAGGAGAACCTATCGAGCATGTTACCGCCGGCGGTGGTTGTCTTGC